GACCTTGCTTGCCACATACTACGAGCGAAGCCGTACACTTGCGGTCGAGCTTTAAAATATAGGCGAACAAGTATTACTGGACTAACAAATATAATGATACACATAAATATAAATAAAAACATAACACTAAATACAAAAACTAAAAAGAATACATGACCATAATAATTAATTTTAATTTCTCAATAAGATAAAAATAAAAAAAAAATTAAACCAATTTAAATTTTATGTTTTTAAATTAATAATTTTTTGAAACTTTTTTTGTTGGCCGGTATTTTGGACCGACATTTTCAGTATTTATGGTATGATCCTTGTACAAACCGACATAACCGTAAATCTGGTATTTTGTGAGTAATTATAATGTACCAATCGCCGATATCCGGCATTACCGACCAGTACGATACGATATTTAAAATATGGATTAAATCAACTTAAATTCATACATCACTTTAATCACATATCTCCTACTTTTGCTTCAAACAAACTTTAATTAGTTTATCAAAATATTATTTAATAAAAAATATAAAATCCCATAAAAAAATAACAAATATTTTTCTGTAAAAAAAAAAGTAACCACTTAACAAAAAAATCAATCAAAACTCATTAAATCAATGACATCTGCTAACTCACTCCCCAAACTCTTTTTCAACTTCTTGTTCAGTATCTATCCCTATTTTCTTCCACTTCACTCCCTCCCACCTACATTAAAATAATAATCCTCTGATATCCCCCACAATATCCTTATATTCATTTTGGTTCAAAAAGACAGTACCATTTTATAATAGAATCGTACCTATTTAATGATATAATAGTATCTACTTTGTTTATTAGCAGTACCTAGACACTTTAGTAAATGAGTTTACTCTAAAGAGTACTTAGAATATATTGAATAATATCAGACCCAACAAGCTTCCGTAAAATTAAGTTAACTACATAACTTTTGTACTTTTTTCGACCGAAATGTTTTCAGGTGAGATGAGTTGTAATTCTACCAATCGGAATATTAGTGCCCCTAGTTCGTTCTACGGACGACTCCTCACATTCCAACTTCATCGCCTCTCAAACCCTTATCCTTTTTGCTGCAACCCAAAACCGTACATTTCTCCCTCTTCTCAGTCACAACTCCCTGATTAGATGCATGCATTATAATGTTAACATGTCAAGCTATGGATCCTACTAAGTTGATGAGCTGTTGCATGATGTTTTGATTAGGGCTGCACACAAGTCGAACTGCTCGCGAGCGCTCGAGTCAAAGCTCGGCTCGAGCTCGAATTTGACTGTACTCGAGTCGAGCTCGAGACATATTTTGCATTGTCGAGCGACTCGAGATATATGTTAAATTACTAAAATACCTCTTTTATATATA